GAAAAATCTGCCAAAAAATATTCATTTTATGGAAAAGGCATAGAAATTGTTGCAGAATAGTGTCACTGAGGGGGGCTATTTCAGCCTTCCTATGTTAAGAACAGAAAACAGACTCCATGTTTCCTTCAGTGGAGATGGTAGAATAAAAACTTTTGACACGCAGAGATCAAAAGATAAAGAATACGGAATACATCCATCAATGTGTACTGTTTTTAAATAAAAATGGAGTAGGGTGAAAGTTAGTAGAAGTTATTTATGGGCTCAACTACTTGTCAATCTGGTAGTGTGACCTAATACGACTCTAGCTTCTCACCTTCTAAGAATGCCAGTTAAGGGAGTCTGTCTGTTCGAAATTACCTATATTTTTTCACAATTATCAGTTGTTAGCAAGCCCAAGAAAATGTATATTATAAGAATATGTTAAAAAATGGTCTGTGTGGTACCTGCTTTTCTTATGTCTTTAGATGTATTGAATTACTGTGGAGTCATTCTTGGTACATTTATTAATGCTTTTCACAAACATTGTTACAAAATATATCAAGGTGAAAAATCTGATACTGCACTGACTTCATGGCAGCCTCCCAGTAATTATGCTGACTGAATGACTAACTCAAAAAGTTTCAAGCTTTTCCTTAACGTTCTGTTAAATCCAAAATTAAACTGGTTTTTTTAAAACTTATATGTGGAATTTTTTATTCTGTATTTCTACAAAAGGACAAAACAGTGACTAGAAAGTGCTGTAAGACTGAAAAGAATTGGCATCCTTCCACTGCTGTGGCATGGCACTGTTTGTTGGTAATAGACAAAATGAGTTCCGATGCCATATTAGATATGAGTTCTTCACCAGTGCATGATATCTTAGCAAGAATAAGTTGAATTCTTAATAAAATAAGTACACATTAAAAAAAACATGTTACATTAGATTATCACATTGTATTTCTAACACAACTATTTTATAAGTTTTAGGGGAGGGATTCAATCTTGAAATAACACTTTTTAAACTGGAGCATACTCATCATAATTCAGTCCTATCAGTTTTGCTAAGAGAAAATATATGAATTGTTAATTGACTTATTTTTCAGTTATGGAGTTCATCCCTATATAAAATTAACTTGTTAATATACTCATTTAGAGTATTAAAAATTGATATTTCAGTTTTAATTTAAACGTACTGATAAAGTTCAATGATAGAAAAGCTTTGCTTCAAATTTTGTTTTATATTTTACTTTTTGTTTTCTCTCGCATTGTAGATGTTAAGTATATATAGTTTTTCAAATAACTGTGATACTGAAATGAGGATAATTATTTAATAAATATACATACTGTCAAATTTCATTTCAACATTTCAGTTTTCAAAGAACATACAGAATTGTTGTATTCTTAAATTTTACCTCCCACTCTTCATTCTTCTTCATTCGTTCTAAGAGCCGTGCTGGCGCAGTGGTTAGAAAGCAGTACTGCAGGCTACTTCTGCTGACTGCTGGCTGTCAGCAGTTCGGCAGTTCAATTCTCACCGGCTCAAGGTTGACTCAGCCTTCCATCCTTCTGAGGTTGATAAACGAGGACCCAGATTGTTGGGGGCAATATGCTGATTCTGTAAACTGTTTAGAGAGGGCTGTAAAGCATTATGAAGCAGTATATAAGTCTAAGTGCTGTTGCTATTGCTTTTGGAAATGAGTCTGTAAGATGAGCTGCCTTTGAACTTGAAATACAAAGTGGTATCTGGAACATGTCTACTAATTCATTTTGATGTTTTAGATATAGAAAAGTTACCAAACTGAACTAGATGATTAAATCAAAAATCACATTTTGTTCATGTCCATGTTGATACCATTTCACAGAACTGTAATATGCGTAAATGTTACATGATTTGAACTCTTCAAAAGAAGTTCTATAATTGTATTCAAATGTAGCACAGCAAAGTTTATTTTGATTTTTGAAAGTCTATAGATTTTTGTTTCAGAGATGCTTTAATCAATTTATTCTTTTCGAGGGACTTTTTACTCCTTCCATTTAATCATGTCCAATTCTTGGATATTGCTTGGAGAAGTCCTTGTTCCTTACTTGGCAAAGTTTTTCAGAAATGGTTTGCTGTTACCTCCTTTCTAAGGTGGAGAGAAAGTGACTGGAGTAAGGTCACCCAGCTGGCCTTGGGCCTAAGGCAGGGTTAGAACTAATGGTTTCTGTCATGGCCCACTCAGAGGCCAGTTCAGAGGAGAAGGAGGAGGAGTTGGAGCTGGGACCATCTGACAGGGAAGGCACGTCAGGGGCTGAGGGGCTGAGGACAATGCTGTCCTGGGCCCCTCAGGCATTGAGATAGAGCTGCCTGCCTGCACAGACACAGGGGAGGATCGGCTGCTGACTGGCAGTGGTGCTGATAGGCAACCGGTCTCTTCTGATGAGGAACAGCTGCCTACTCCACTTGATCCAAGGGCAAGGAGAAGGGAGTGTAGGCAAGCCCAGAGAAGGGCTGCAAGGTTACTCGGGAGGAGGTCGCCCCACCCGTCCTCACAAGGAACACATGGAGGGGAGTAACTTAAGGAGAAGCCGTGGGGAGTTAGTCTTTGCCAGGAACAATTGTTTGCTTTGGCTTACACTCGCCCGGCTTTTATTCCTGCCTGTTGCTGTTTGCCTGGCCTCGCTTGGAAGATTGCTCTTCTCATTTTGTTTTGGACCTCGCCCTTCTCTTGTGGCCTGCGTTTGGCCTTTGCTTCACTTGAGCTTTGGAACCACTTCTTTTCTGGGACCTGCTTCTTGTCTTGAGGATTGCCCTTGTATTATGCCTGGACCCTGCCTGGTGGATTGGATTTGGAACCCTGGGTCTTGCCCTGTGAGCGTGCTCCTACTCTGTGGGCTTTCTTTGTACTATAGGGACTGTTGTTTGGGGGGACTGAGTGTGGCTGCCTTCAGGGTAGCGTGGGGGTGGAGCCTTACTGGTTGTTGGAGGGCCATTGGCCAGAACTCTCTAGAGATCTGCCTTGCCTCAACCACCTGAGTCATAACAGCTTCCTAGCTTCTAACCTGATGCCTTAACCATTACATCAAGCTAGTTTTTATTAACAGTGCTATGCATTAATAAATATAGTGAAGCAAGTTAAAGTTAAAGTGGGTCAATGCAAGAGCTTAAATATTAATTAAGAGCATAATATTAATTAATCCATTTATGTTCCATTTTTCCTTCAGACGTTTTCTTCCTACTCTCAAGTGAGAAATAAATTATAATTAGATATTTGACTGGATCAAAGCCATTCATTGAACTCTATGGTTCTGTATTAATTTGAGCTTTACACAATCGTAGACTAGACTGAACTGTGTAAGCTTATGTTAAAATAGGACTTTGGATATTATAAGAGAATTGTTCGATATAGATGTTCCAGATCTACAGAGAGTATATGATGATAATATGTTAGTCAGTCATTTCAATGAAATGTTTATGTAAATTATAATATAATTCTAACCTAAATGCAGAGTAATCTTGTTAGCTGAAATACCAGCCAATCTGGAATACCAATATTTCTAAGAAAGAGTATTCTTATACTTTTTTCTGCAGTATCCTGAAATTATTGATAGTTGCAGTATATAGGACAATGAATAGTACATTACCTAATTATAAAGTACATAGTAAATGCCCTGTAGTTCTATCTTACAGGATTAGGATTTATTTTAAAAATAATAAATTTTTGGAACTTTGGATATTAAAGGACAGTTTTTCACTTACTATCCACAGATAGTAATTTATTTATTTATTGTAATACTAGCTGTACCCGGCCACGCGTTGCTGTGGCTCAGTCTGGTTAAATGGAAAAGAAAGAAAAGAGAAAGCGCATGTTTGTGTTGCTTTTACGTCCAACAGATGGCGCTGTTTTTCAAAAAAGCATGTTTTTACCTGTCACAGGTGTGACATCTATATAATATAGGTATATAAAAACATGCGTGTATTCAAATGCAACGTTGTATCAAAATTTCAAAGCAATCGGTGAAGAACTTTTGGAGATTTAAGATTTTGAACAAACGAACATTTACATTTTTATTTATATAGATAAGATTTAAAAATATTTCTGATCTTTTAATCATTTTTATCTTGATATATTTTAGTATTCTATTGGTGTTTATTAGGACTTGTGAATGAATTTTAATTACATATTCCTATATTAATAATTGTGTTATTATAATATATAATATTATATATTATATTATAATTTTATCCTTATAAAATTATTTTCACTTAAGTTTGAAGTCCATAGCTTTTAATTAAATTGTGGAGAATCAAACTGATTACACTTAGTATACAGCACTTTCAATCTGCATTTTCAGTTGCATTTGCATTAGAGCAGTATAATGAAATATAGAGCAGAAAACCCTCAGTACAGCTATTTGTGAATTGTATATATTGACAACAGAAACATCCTTATTGAAACATAAGAATTATGTCTTCTACTATAAGTTGTCACTTGGCTCTAAAACTGTATGATTTAGCCAAGGAAGTGTTGCTAGAAAGAACCATAGAAAAGAATTGTAATGTGCTTTTGTATCTAATTCTCAATGGAATGGGATCCTTTTGAATAGATAAGCGAGGTTTATGTCAACAAAAGCAATGTTTAATATTCCAATATGGAGGCACTTTTTATTTCACTTGATTTGGCTTTATTGTTGGCAGACTAAATTGTAGGCTGATGAGTTTCTTGTAATCTATGAATAATAATTACTTGAAACATGCAAGCTATTATGTTTTGAAATTATATTTTACTTTGTTGAAATTATGTATGATACTTTTAATAACGTGGGAGATCGGCCAGAGTTCTAAAGGATTGTTCAGGTATATGTACAGTTTTAGCAAAATATGTGGCATTTTTAGATATTTACTAAGCCATGAATAACTTTCTAGTTAATTTCTGCTTAAAGTTCTTATATTTAGAAGTGATTAGTACATTGAAAAAAATAACTGAAAATGCTCTTTTGCTTAGCTCCCGCTCTAAACTGTTCCTTGTGTTTATTTGCAGGATCGTACAAGAACTTTTGACATGCATTCACTGGAGAATTCATTAATCGACATAATGAGAGCTGAAAGTGATTCACTGAAAGGTAAACTTGGATTACCAATTTTTGAGATTAAATAATTAGAGTAATATAGTTGTGCATGGTAGAAAGCTCTTCAATTTATAGTACAGTTAAAGCATTTACCACCCATGTATCCTTCACCAATTCTCTCTGTCTTTCATCATAAGCAATTAAACCAAAGCTACCTTTGAAATAATTCCTTTTTCATATATGTGCATGAATAGACTTATGCTTAAACTATTTGTTTCAAACAGACCTTTTTCTAACCATATACTCACTATACAGTCACTATGCTTATTCTCTGTTGGGTCCCCAAATGGCCCAGTCATTTTTCTTGTACTCACTCATCTCATTCTCACTCATCTCATTCTCACTTATCTCATGTTCTCCAAAGGATTATGAGAGGTTCTGAATATTGGTCAGGTCATTAATTGGTATTAATATTGAAAAAAATGAAGCGAAAGAAATAAGACTAAAAGTGGCATGACTGCAAGGTGAGAAAGCATGAGTCCTGTATGCCAAAGGTTTAGAAGACAGATTAATCTCTCAGATGGAATAAACAGGAAGTGGACATAAGGAAAGACAACAAGGAAGCTACTTGGAATAAATAAAAAAGAATTAAATTTCAGTGTGATAAAAGGGTGTGGAACTATGGTAAGAGAAAGTATGAAAAAGCATGCAAAGCTGAAACGATGAAGTGAAAAAGGCTAAAACAGAGCCACGAATGTGCTTAAAATAAGAGTGATTTGAGATGAAACTGAATGGAGGAAATACAGGAGATCCAGTATTGTATAGAAATTACAGAGCTATCTCAAAGAGTAGGATTGAATTTAATACTTTAAATGTTAATGACCAAAAAGTATGAAAATATATTTCCTAATATAAATATTAGGAAAATGTTGGGAAATTATTAAGGCTGCAGGTAATATTCAAATGTGAATATAGTTTACTTAACTGAATAGCTTAAAAGTTATATCTGTATGAAATGTTTGAGAGAATGTAGCTATTGTTCTCATCTACAAAAGGATAGGTAACAAAAGAGAATTTAAAAAAAACCCCCGATAGGGGATTACTTTGTTAAGAGTGCCTAAGAAGTTGCTTGGTAGATCTTTGATTGGAAGGATACAAGAGGTGACCAACAACAATTTGAGAGGTGTTACATCTTTGCTGGTTGGAACCATACAAATCAGATATTTGCTTTTCAACAGTTATTGAGAAAGGCTTGATTGTGAGAAGGGAAGCTTATTATACATTTTTGTATAGAAAAATCAAGGATGGTGAATAGATTTGAATAATGGGATAGTGGAATAATAGGGTTGAAGGTTGATCACTGATAAAAATGATATATAGTGGAAGGAAAATGAATATGAATAAATTGGATACTTAATAAATGGTACAATATTAAGCACGATGTCAGATCCCTTTGATTGTTTAATATATTTATGAATAAATGTATAAATATACTGATAGTGTTAAAGGTATGTTGGTTGGGAACCTAACTTTGTGGATAATCTTATGTTGTTATGCTGGCTAAGAAACCAAATAAATTGCAACAAATAATAGATATGAGGCTGGAAGGAGTATGCATCTGGAAATTCATGGCTCAAAGACAAAAGCAGGAAAATAGAGAGAATTATACCAAATTATATCTAAGTGGCTAAAGATTAGAGCAAGTAGATGGATTTTTATAACTTGGTAGAATAGTTTGCCAAAGATGGGAAAATGATTGGAGAAATGTTAAGACATTAAGAGACTAGTAGAAAGATGGTAAATAATATGTGGTTTGTGGCGAGGAATAAACATTTTTCAGAAGAAGTAAAAAAAAAGCATTGGGGTATTTCAGGAGAAATATAAAAGAAAGTTGAGTGCAGAGGGAACTGCAAAAGGAATGTAAAAGTAAGTTGAATGTAGTGGAAATGCAATACTTTAGCAGTATATGTGGTAAAATCCAAAGCGACAGGGCCAGGGATGAATTTATGATGAATGACTGTGGATTAAATTCAAAAGGAAATTGCCAGTACAAAAGTAGCCTGTTGAGGTGGTTTGATTAAAATGATTGAGGATCAAGTTGCAAAACATATATCTAAAGAATGGCTGAATAGGTTGAGAGAGAGAAAAAGACTGAGAAAGTCATGCTTTGATGCAATTAGAACATAGAACATAGTGCATTATGGTGCATAATTATGTGCAGAACATGTAATCATTCAGAATAGAACTGGAAGGGACCTGGAAGATCTTCTAGTCCAACCCCTTGCTCAAGGCAGGAGTCCTTATATCATCTCAGACAAACAGTTGTCCAATTTTTCTTGAAAACCTCTAGCGATGCAGCACCTACAACTCCGGGAGGCAAGCTGTTCCATTGATTAATTAATTAATTAATTAATTAATTAAGAAGGTTGCAGGGTGCTGTTCTTTCTTAACTGAAACCACTGAAACACAGAGACACACTTTTCATTGTAGAGCAATTTAAAAAGCCCCACTGTACTTTCCAAATTTGCATTTGTAGGGTATATTTATTTTATAGATTTGTCAAATTTATATAGCCGCCATCTCACAAGAAGGGACTTTGAGCAGAAGTTTCCAAACCAGCAAAATTCTGGGAGTTGAAGTTCCCCGGTCTTAAAGTTGCCACGTTTGGACATCCTTGCCATTGAGTATTGTGGATTGTGAACTTAATGGGGTTGGAGGAACAGAGTTTTAAGAAAAGAAAATAAGGCTCCCTACATGAAGGGAGGGGTGAATCAAGGAAATTGAAGCAGGGCTGTGAAGAGACAGCAGTGCCCAAAGCAGCTGATGAAATTATGGGGAAAGTGCATTACAAAATGCTCAGCTTTCTTAGGCATATCAGGACACCAGTAAGTACCACATGATGCCAGTTTATGTTTGTGTCAGCTTGAGTGATGGACAAAGACTCACATGGCCTTTTGTATGTGGGAGTCCATGTAAAAAAAGACAGAAGAAATTGTGTAAAAGAAGGGGGAATTATACACAGTTGATAGATGGGAGTTAAATGATCCTAAGTTACATGATATGTGATCCTACGTTATATGATATGTGGGAGTTGATATGATCCTAAGAAAAAGAGAGGCAGGAACGTTGAAGAGCAGAAAGCAATGTTTTAAGAGGTGTATGGATGTGTGGAAGCAAGGATCCTTTGCAAGGATGGAAAGATATGGAGTCACTATTATATATAGTGAAAGATGTTTATGTTAATCATATTCAGCTATGTTTTGTCTTTCTTATCTCATATATTTTAAGTTCTTTTCTGCCCTTTGTATAATACTGATAATTTCAAAGGGACTAAGGGGATAAGGGTATGTAACTTAAAGCAATTGCTCCTTCCTTTTATTTGATAGTTTGTCCTTATTGCAGGTTTTTTTTTCTTCCATTTATCTCAAGAGGAAGCTAAGCATTTGTTTATCCCTAATGCCTTCCTTGAAATAAATGTTTTAAAAGTTTGGGTTTTCCAGTGAAGACAAGCGATTTAAAACTGAACTTGACATGGAAAATTCTATCAGTTGGCATATTTTTCTCAAATAATAATTACACAGTATTGGACAATTGGTCTCAGTTGGTACAGAATTATGAGAAAGCAAGAAAATTTGTTTGATTATATGGGAGTAATTAAGAATTGGCAGGTGAACTATGAAAAAAGAGGGTTAGTCACAGTCTAAAATTAAGCAGTCAAGGCTCGGATGAATGTTTTGGCTGATGTAAGATTACTGTACTCTCTATTTTGGGAGTCATCTGAAGTACAACATGATGCAGAATCTATCACCAAATAGAACTAGGAATACATGAAACTCACATGATCCTTTCTTTAAATAACTTGTTTTCCATGCCTGCTGGCATTTTGAGAAGTATAGTTCCCATGTTCAATAATATATGGCTGTACTGACATCCCCCTATAAGAGTTTACATCTCTAGTCATGTTAAATGTTCCAGCCCTTCCAGGTAGCACCCAAATCTCCGAGTGGCCTGAGACTTGATATTAATACAATGCTGTTAGAAGGATGCCTGAGAAAATAACTACAGACACCTCACATCCTGGATGCAAACTGTTTCAACCCTTCCCTTCCCCTTGGGATGCTGCTGTAGGGCATTATATGCCAAAACAACTAGACACAGGGACACTTTTTTCCCTCATGCCATCACTCTGTTGAACACCGAATCCTCACAGTACTATCTTATGTCTAAGTATATTCACCCATTTTGTATGGCTCTAGAATTATTATTATCTTTCTCATCTCCTCTACTATTCTCTCTTATTGTATCATTATTATTATTTTTATTACTCTGTTGCTTTGCAAGTACACTGAGAGCTTCTACACCGGAGAAAATTCCTTGTGTGTCCAATCACATTTGGCCAATAAAATTCTATTTCTATTTCTATTTCTATTTCTATTTCTATTTCTATTTCTATTTCTATTTCTATTTCTATTCCTATCCTATCCTATCCTATCCTATCCTATCCCATCCCATCCCATCCCATCCCTCTCCTCCCACTGAGGTGTATCTGAGTGAAGAATAGGCCTAAAAATTTACAGCATCAGGAAGAAAAGAGACCACTTAAATAACTCATATTTCTGTTGTGACAATAGCTTGAAATAAAAACAGAACTCCGAGGTGTTAATGTAAACAACATACCATTCAGAACAGAATGGTATGAAAGTCACTTGCTTAGTGTGGAGTAAATGCTTAACAGTAATCTTAATTTACATGTTTCTGGGTTTTATGTGTCCGATGCTGCATTTGCTTAATTTTCAGGGTTTTTGCTCTAATTAGTTTATTTCTGAGGAGTGCTAGGGCAGATTTATGATCTTCCTTGAAAGTATATGTTTTCTGTTTTCAAGGCTGTTGTTGGTTAATGGAATCAACTTTTTAATAATTATTCTTGACTCAAAGAGTCCTAAATGCTTCACAGATTAACAAGCTAAAGTTGGTATTATCCACTTCTGGAGGTGAAAAGTAATGTGAAAACTATTATCACCAAGCCCATATAATGTTTTAAGATATGAAATCCA